CCTCCACAAATTAACATCTTTACATTTAATATATTAAATGCCACTATAATCTTACAACTCCACTTATGGTAGTCACATAGAAAGTAGCTAGCTGATTCTAAAATTAATGTGGAAATACAAACAACTAAAATATTTAGTGCTATCTTGGAATAATCAAGTTGGGAGCATTTACAGTATCTGATACTTCAGGATATTCAATAAAGCGATGTGAGTATGGGTATGAAGTATGGGCTATACAGATAAGTTTAAAAAATATTGAGAGCTAGAAAAAATATCGCCAGGTTTTTCACAAAGGTGTGGAAGTAAACCACTGGGGGGCCTTTTAAAATAATGCTACCACTGATTATTCATGTGGAAAAAAATCCTGATTCTACTTTATACCAAATGCAGAAATTTATTTGGGAGAGGTCATACATGAAATGTAAGAGCAAAACAATAACATTTATAGGAGAAAATGTTAAAAAAAAATCTTCACATTTTGATAAAAGTGAAGTAATAATCAAAAAGCTTGATTAGAATTTGTTCACAAAAACTTTTCCTTTCATCAAAAAATACCATTAAGAAAGTGAATAAGCAAGCTACAGGCAAGGAAAAATATTAACAAAGTATATATCTGTTAAGTAGGTATCTGATAAAGGATTGTATTTAGAACATGTACAAATTTCACAATTTGGGGCTGGAGAGAGAGTAGAGTGGGTAGGGTGCTTGCCTTACATATAGCCAATCTGGGTTCATTCCCCAGCATCCCACCTGGTCCCCTGAGCACCACCAGGAGTAATTCCTCAATGCAGAGCCAGGAGTAATCTCTAACCTGAGCATTGCTGGGTGTGCTCCTCTTCTCTGCTCCCAAGATTTTATAATTTGATAATGAAAGGCTGGAGCGATAGCACAGTGGGTAGGGCGTCCGCCTTACAAGCGGCCAACATGGTCGACCCGAGTTCGATTCCTCCGCCCCTCTCGGAGAGCCCGGCAAGCTACCGAGAGTATTTGATATGCCAGACACAGTAACAACAAAGTCTCCAATGGAGACGTTACTGGGCCCGCTCGAGCAAATCGACGATCAACGGGAGGGCCTTTACCTTTTTACCTTTTAATGAAAGGATAGTAACTTAATACGAAGAGGCAGGATATTTGAAGAAACATTTCACCAAAAAGATAGCTGAAGGCTGGAGAGATAGTACAGCAAGTGGAGTGCTTGCCTTGAACATGGATGAACAGAGTGCAATTCCTAGCACCACAGATGGACCCTTGGGGACCACCAGGAGTGAGCCCTGAGCACAGGGCCAGGAGCACTACTGAGGTGGCGCCCACTAAAAATAAATAAAAGAAAGTTATGGTAACTTTCTTCAAGACAGCCAGTAGCTGGTAATGGCCAAGTGTCCACAAGAAGAATGGATAAGCTCTGGAGCACTGATACAAGAACAGACTACTGATTCAGGGAAGGAAAGACTAGACTGCAAATCAAGCTGAAACCTTAGCAGGTGTGAAACTGTTTATTTTCACTTGTATGAACTGAAGAAAAATAAAATGAATATATACAGTGGAAAATATTTAGAATTAAGGTTGTCTTTTGGTGAGAGGGGACAGAAACTTTTTATTTTTAATTTTTTTAATTTTTTGCTTTTTGGGTGACACCTGACGATGCTCAGGGATTACCTCTGGCTCTGCACTCAAGAATTAACTCCTGGCAGTACTTAGGGGGCCATATGGGATGCTGTGGATCGAACTAGTATTGGCCAAGTGCAAGGCAAACAACCCTCCCCACTGCTCTATCAGCTCTGCCCTCCAGAAACTTTTAGGTCACACAGAGAACAGAACAAATTCTGATCTGTATGTCTGAGCTCTGTCTAGAAGAATACTCAGGCGAACAAGGCAAGGTGCTAATTAAGCTTGATGCTGGGTTTATTTCTAATAGCTATTTCAACTTTGAGTTTTTAAAATTTTCATAATAAAGTGTGTGTGTGTGTGTGTGTGTGTGTGTGTGTGTGTATGTTTGTGTACACTGCTCTCAATTTCTCTGCTCTCATGTTCCCTGTACAAACTGGAATTAACTTTGCATGAGGTAAGCCAACAGGGTGTGCTATTCTCAGAGTCAAGATTTGAGTTAAAAAATCCTTTTAGAAGAAATGCTTTTTTTTTCCTTTATGGGTCACACCGGGTGATGCACAGGGGTTACTCCTGGCTCATGCACTCAGGATTTACTCCTGGTGGTGCTTGGGGGAACATATGGGATGCTGGGAATACAACCCGGGTCGGCTGTGTGTAAGGCAAATCCTACCTGCTGTGCATCACTCCAACCCCAAGAGAAATGCTTTAATGCAATTTTCTTTTTGGTAAGAATGAATTAGAATGCATACAGACTATTAGTATACATTATATATGTGAATACATGTGTATATATGTCTTTATCTATTGTGTATAAATAGATAGACTTTTAGGGGAAAGTACAAAGCTCTAATGAGAGACGTTCCAGTTTCATACATTTTGCCTCAGCTTAGATGCCTATTTCCAAAGAGAATCAATCATTTAAGGAAGGACATCTGTCTTGACTTGCTTTTAGCATTAAAAAACACATCTTCTGACTTCAACCTCTTAGGGAAAAGTACAAGGCTCATGTAATATGAATCAAGAAAAACACATATTTTAAAAAAAGATGTCACAGGTGGGTGGGTATGGTGTCACCAGCGGGTCAACCTGTACCTTCGGGGCAAGTGCATCAGCAACTTGATGGTGCCTTCAGGCTTCCTAATACCCCAATTGCTGCTCTGCCTTTGGCCAGATCCCAACAACTTGGGACCAAGTTTACCAAGAAATTAAACAGTCAAAAGTTAGGCATGTGGGAGCCACACCCACAAACCACCTCCAGCTCAGCCGTATAAGCTCATTTATTGGCCTTATTTTAGAGACCCATAAATAAACCTTGAAAGCCGCAATTAATCTCAGCCCACATATGGCTGAACAGACCAGGGTAAATCGGAGGGGTGGGTCAGTCTGGTGCCCACCCAAGCAGAGCCCCTGGCAGCCGCTTGCTCCCACAATCCAAAATCGCCACCATATCCTCGGCCTGACTTCACTGTCTCAGGACAGACCTCCCTGAGACATAATCTGCTGAAAATTCGGGTATGTGCCTTTTGTAATTGAAATTTCCAGGCTTAAGGATGGGCTTCCTCCCCCTACCTCCCTCTACTTTTGAAAGTCTCAGCAGTCACACCTACACCCCAAAGTTGCCACACAGAAAAAAAGCTACTCCAGCCTTACCTTCCCAATAAAAGTACTGAATACCCTGAACAAACACCAGGACCTCAATGCAAAAAAGGAAAAGGAGAGAGAGAGAGCAAGAAGGAAAATGCCTACCATAGAGGGAGGCTGGGGGTAGGGAGTGGGGTGTTGGGAATGGTGGGAGGGAAACGGGACACTGGTGGTGGAAAATATACACTGGTGGAGGGATGGGCACTGGAAGACTGAAACCCAATTATGAACAGCTTTGTAATGGTCTTTCTCAATGATCACTTAATCACTTAATCACTTAATCCCCGTTATTCATCGATTTATTCGAGCGGGTGCCAGTAACGTCTCCATTCCTCACGGTTGCGTGCTAGCGTAGCCCAATGGTATCTGTTCGTTCTAGGAACATGCAGGGCCTCAAACCGATCATTTAGGGTCTTGACGAAGAAGTCTGACCATCTTATAGGTGGGCGTCCACGTGATCTTTTGATGTCTCGTGGAATCCAATCAGTAATGGCTCTAGTCCAGCGGTTGTCTGTAAACCTCATTACATGTCCAGCCCATCTGATTTTTGATGTCTTGGCAAATGAGACAGTGTCTCTGATTCTTGAGCGTTGACGAAGATCAGAACTCCGGATTCTATCTCTCATTTGAGTGAATCGTGATATTCCAAGCATAGTTCTTTCGATTCCTCTTTGAGAGACCCGAATAGTGTTCTCATCCTGTTTTCATAGGGTCCAGGTCTCTGAGGCATATGTTAATGCAGGAAGAATAGTGGAATCAAAGAGATGTGCTCGTAGTTGGAGGTTCTTTGTCCTTTTAGTTATTTCTTCAATGCTCTTGAAGGCATTCCAAGCCGCTCTCTTCCTCCTGCGTAACTCAGGTGCCAGGTCATTCATCATGTTGATTTCTCGACCTAAGTATATATAACTGTTGCATTCGGAGATGGTGGTTCCGTTGAGAGCGAATGGAGCGTCAGGAACAAGGCTGTTTCTCATAAACATTGTCTTCGTAAGATTCAGCTGTAGTCCAACCTTTCCACACTCACGGTCAAAGTCCGCAAGCATTTGTGCTGCTTGGCTGATGTTTGGTGTTATTAGAACTATGTCATCAGCAAAGCGGAGGTGATATTCAATGAATATCAATGATATTCAATAAAAAAGAAAAAAGAAAAAAATGCCCCCCCAGCACCATCTTTACAGCACACAGCAACAAACAAGAAAACCGCTGGGGGGCTCCACAGCTCCCGGAGAATGCTCTGGGTCCCAAACAGAGCCGAGATCACCGGGAAGTCCCAGATGGGGTAGGTGCTGCATCCCGCCTTCTCCAGATGGAACCCCGGTGACCAGGAGCCTCTACAAGCATAGCTCGGGCATGCGGGAACCAGGACATTTATTCCAAACTCCTTATATACAAAGTGATCAATGGAAAGTAAATCATCCACTGTTTCTCCCTGAAAATCAGGCTTAACTTGTTTGCAAACCACAACACCCAAAAGGAGAGAGAGAATAGAGGTGAATGCCCTGCCACAGAGGCAGGGTGGGATGGGGGGGATGGGGGGTGGGAGGGATACTGGGATCAGTGGTGGTGGAAAATGGGCACTAGTGGAGGGATGGGTATTCAAAATAAATAAATAAATAAATAAAAAAAAGAAAAAAATGTCAAATATTTGTCGAAAAATGTTAACCGCCCATATTCTTGCTAAGGAGGGGAAATCTGATAGTTTAAAGACTCAATGCTTATACTCTCAGGATATGCACTCTGGGGTTCATTACCTTTATCAAGAGATGCCCCAGCCATATGGTAAAAGCTCAACGCGGTGTCCACATCATTAATATTCTTCAGGAAAGTAAAGAAGTTCTCCACCTCCTGAAATGTCAGACCCTGGAAGAGAGATAACAGGGTAAGGTGGCCACCTGAAGCAAAATGCAGAGCAGTCGGCATTAATATGTGCTCATAAATCACACGTTTACAGAGGCCTAGAACAGAGGCTGAATACATTAGTTCAGGAACGTCAAGCTTGTACACGACAGGGTTACTCTGAGAAAGGCGGATGGACTGTCTTGCCCAGTCTGTGAAAACTGACACGAAGCTATTTTCAGTGATGGCTGGGTGGTCTCTAATGAAAATATTTCTAACTGTGCCCTCTACTGAGTCACAGTAACTACTACGGTATTTCTGGAATGGGCCATTGCCACTTGATCTGTTATATGTATATGTACAAATAAGACCAGAGTCAGTAATTCCATTTTAATAATGGCCAGCTTAGTTTTTATTTTTTTTTAATGCTTAAGTTAATTAAAAAAAATCACCAACGGCCCTGATAGATAGATACAGGTTTCCTGAGAAGGGCTTCAGAATGCAGCAGTGCACAGACTTGGGGAAGCCCTTCATTAGCTCAATTGAAAAGCTACTAAACAGAGCAATTTGGCACTTAACTTTAACCTAATTAACTCCATGAATGAGGAAGTTATTTTCAAAAGCTGGTCAAGGATTTGCTGATTTCTAACTCCATTTCTCCGATGGCTCACGGGAGAGCAGTTGTATGTAATAGGCTGCAGGGGAGTTAGAGGTCAAACATCCGACTCTGTGGTTCCCTCTCCTCACACTATCGCTCGGGCACCGGGGCTAATGCCTAGTAATGAGACATCAGCTTCTTAACAGGCTGCAGATGTTGGATGGCTTCTCCACGGTGGTGTTTCTCTTCCAATTTCTAGCTCCCCAAACGACAGCCCAGGAATCAATCCATGGCAGGAAACCAGCAGAAGTAAACCGTAACACAGACAACTGAAAAAAACTCCCCCCCCCCACCTTCTTTTTTGGGCCATGTTTGGTGGTGCTCAGGGAACCATAGAGGGTGTCAGTGTGGACAGTCTTATCTTCCTGGCTCCAACCATGGTTTCCAAACAGGGTCAAAAGTTTCTTTCAGAAGGGAGCACCAAATAAAGGGTGTTTGGAGGATCCTCCCAGGAGGGGAGATGCATGTCGAAAGTGGACTATGGACTGAACATGTTTGCCACTCAATGCCTCTTTTGCAGACCACAACACCCAAAAGGAGAGAGAGAACAAAAGCGAATGCCCTGCCACAGAGGCAGGGTGGGATGGGGGGGATGGGGGGGAGGGATATTATCCATGGTGGTGGAAAATGGGCACTGGTGGAGGGATGGGTATCTGATCATGGTATAACCGAAACCCAAGCACAAAAAATTGTATATCTACAACTGTACCTCATGGTGTTTCACTAATAAAAAAGAAAAAGTCTCTTTCATTCTATTAATCAACAAAAGAGCTTAAGGTCGTGTCTATGAAATTATATCACATGATCTTTCATAATCCCATCTCCAAATTACAGAACTTAAAATTGTCGGGGCTGGAGTGATAGCACAGTGGGTAGGGCGTTTGCCTTGCACGCGGCTGACCCGGGTTCAATTCCCAGCATCCCATATGGTCCCCCAAGCACGGCCAGGAGTAATTCCTGAATGCATGAACCAGGAGTAACTCCTGTGCATCGCTGGGTGTGACCCAAAAAAGCAAAAATAAATAAATAAATAAATAAAATTAAAATTGTTGAGTTGGGCTTTGAAAGCCATTAGGAAAGATAAATAAAATAAAAATGCACATTTAACAAAATGCTGAAAACGACATCCATAAATCCATAAACCCTCCACTGAGACAAGAAACGGACTAAGATATTAAGTTCTGAGTCACCTTCCCTACCCACAGTTTCCAATCAAGCGACCTCTTCTATCAGTTGGTAATGTGACTTATATAATAGTTCAACTCCTTGCTTTAAAAAAAAGGAAAAAGGCATGAATGGTTCCCTGAGCTTGCCGGGAATGATCCCTGAGCACAGAGCCAGGTTAAAGTCCCAAGCACAGCTGAGTGTTGTCCCAAGACAAAAAACAAAAACAAAACAAAAATTTGAAAAGGCATTCATATTTGTACATCCTTAAACAGAAAAAATAAATTTTGAGTTTTAAAAATTTATAAAAGGAACCAAGTGGTATGTATTCTATTATATTTAGCTAACCTCTTTAATGTTTATATTTCATGTATCTTTGTCCTTACCTTTTGACATTCATGCTCCATTTGTGTAAATACACCACAAACTGTCTAACCATTCCATCCGGAGTGTTGCTAGGTTTGTATTTTTTTATTATTTGCACGACTTGTGGTGAATCTGTATTTAAGCATCACATGCACACTTAGGGAATACCCCTATGAATCCAGTTCAATGATTTTAGTTGGATACTTGGTGATGGGATTGAAACGGGTCGTAATGTGCAGGGCAAGTCACCAATGAGCCACATTCCTGGTCCAAGCTTGATGACAATGATGTGGAAACACATTTTCTATAACTTGTGGCCATTCTTTCCAGGGGAGATTCACCCAGCAGTGTTCAGAGACTATTCCAGATGTAGGTGCTTGTGGGGGAGTGAATAGTCCCAGGATTGAACCTGGATCTCCCCAGAACCATAGCACACACCTGAGTCCTTCAAACTATCTCCCCAGCCTGAGTCCATTCTCATGGCCTTGACTTAGAGCACGTCTCTAGAGGTAAGTCTCATTCCTCAGAAGGATGCTGTGTCTGGGAAGAACTACTCTTAACAGGAGAATCTCACCAGGCCAAACTTGCAGGTTCTACAGTATTGTGTGTTGTGCATAGATACATTAATGCCATTTTCTCTTCCTGTCTATCAAAAAGCAGTCAAAGATGAAAACAAGGTAAATATCCACTGGTGGGTGACCGGGGGAAAAATGGAATATTAGTTTTTAAAAGGAAATCCTGACATATGAGACAGTGTTGCTAAGCCTTCGTTATACACCAAGTGAAATAAGCCCAGTCACCAAAGGACAAAGCAGTGTATGAGGTACCTAGACTGGCTAAATTCATAGCCAATTAATTTACATCATTTAATTATGAGGTAAACGGAGGTCTATTTACACAAATGGAAAGTAGAATAGAGGCAGCTAGGACAAGGGGGGAGATGGGGAGAATGGAAAATTACTTCTGATGGACACAGAGCTTCATCTTGGGAAGATGAAAGAGTTTGGAGATGGATACTGATGATGGAGTAAAATAGTAAAATGCCACTGAACATCTTATTTAAAAATGGCCAAGATGATACATTTTAAGGACTGGAAAAATAGTCTACCTATATACGATATGTGCATGTGGCTGACTTTGGTTTGATCCCCAGCACTGCATATGGTCCCACAAGCTCTTCTCCAGATGTGACCCCTGAGCACAGAATCAGGAGTAACCTTGTTGTGGTGACATGAAGATTCTTATCCTTCAGTTATGATACTTACTTTATGTTGTTAGGGTGGGTGGGGCACACCTGTCTGTATTTGAGGCATACTCTTAGCTATGTGCTCAGGTAGCACTCCTGCTAGGCTCAGAGGACTATACAGTGTGTCAGAGACTGAACCAGCTGGATGTGTACAAAGCAGATGTTGCACCCACTGTACCATTTCTCTAGTCACCTGAAAGGCTCAACTGTTAATGTGAAATTCATGATACAGAAAGGATATTCTAAACGTGTGCTTTCCCACTTTAATAAATAATCTCTAGTGTTTTAAAAATTCATTTATCATGAAACATCAAATACTCTCGCTCAAGACCAGAGGATTTGTACTGAGAATTATTTGAGGACAGAGAGACCAAGTGAACCATCTGAATGGGGCAATTCATCTGATGATTTAGAAAAAAGGAAATACAAATGTTATGTCATTATTTAATTATGTAACCCCTTGACTTTTATTTTAGACATTGAAAAACAAAATGTTTAACGGCTGCTTACCAAACCAGTCAACAATATGCCAGGCACAATAATGGAAAGAAAACAGAACCAAACGTGGGTCTTGATTTTACAGAGCTTATAATTTAGAAAAGCCTCCTTAAGGATAAGATACAAATCACAAAATTCTTATTTCTCGGTAGCTGATTTAGTGAAAAATCTAGTGGGTTCTTAGAATGAAAGCAGAGTAACACTATAACATGAGATTAGTGGCTGGCTAAATGGAAAGGGAAAGACTGTGCTTAATGCGAATCGAGTTGTGCAGACTAAGAGTACACAGAGTTTAGGCACAATCTGGAAGGTGATGGGAATTGCTAACATAGGAATCACAAGAAATTTCCCTCTGGGGCTTGGCATCAGAGGGATTTTCTTTTTTTTTTCTATTCTTTTTTATTTTAGCAATCAGCATGAGTTACAGACTTACAAATTTTCGTGATTATGTTTTAATCAAACAATGTTCGAGTACCCATCCCTCCACGAGTGCCCTTTCTCCACCACCAATGTTACCAGTCCCTCCTGCCACCCGCATCCCTTCCCTCCTCCTGCCTCTGTGACAGGCACAATCCAGAGGGATTTTCTTGACATATATGGAGAGACAGGAGAAAGAGGACTTATTTTACTGTGAACCACTGCTGGGAAAAAACTCATTTTCTACCATAGGCAAGATGGGCTCATATAAAAACCTGGACTCCTCATAACTAAAAAATATTAACAATACTTTGAGAACAGTGGAGAGGAGTGCATTAACATGAATTTAACACTGCTGTTCACTGTAGCACTAGTTGCAATAGTCAAGATCTGGAAACAACCCAAGGGCCTAAGAACAGATGCATGGATAAGGGAATTATGATAGATGTACACAAATAGAATACTATCAGGTAAAGTAAAAAGATGAATTCTTTTTTTTTTGGTGGGGAGGAGGCCCCCTGGTGGTTCTTGGCCAGCCAGGCTGGCATTTCAATGTAAGGATCTGAGAATGTGGTGCTGCTTGGGCCCTGAGGTGACAGGGATTACCTGGGCCACTTCAGCAGTGAGCAGGGGGAATGGAGAAATAGGGCACTTGCCTTGCACACAGAGACCCAA